AAAAAAAAAAAAAAAAAAAAAAAAAAAAAAAAAAAGATAAAAGGATCTGTTGAAAAAAGCTGAACCTAGCCAGGTGCAGTGGCACACACCTGTAATCCCGGCAGGTCGGGAGGCTGAGACAGGTGGATGGTGAGTTCAAAGCCAGCCTCAGCAACAGAGAGCTGCTAAGCAATTCAGTGAGACCCTGTCTCTAAATAAAACACAAAAAATAGGGTTGGGGATATGACTCAGTGAGTGAATGCCGTAGAGTTCAATCCCTGGTACCCCGCATCCCCCACCAAAAAAAAGTGAACCATACCATACTCTCTGTAAGAGAATGATATACCATTTATGACATGGATTAATTAAGACACTTCTGGCAGCAGGTGACGATTCAAATCAAACTTCTATAAGGGGAAAAAGGGGAAAGTCTAGGTCCACACAAAATAAGCGCCCAGGATTCCACCAATTTAACACATGGTTACATCCAGGTACTCAAGACACCATCTGGTCTCCAGTTTTCGCCATCTCACAGCTCAGCTGTCATCTGTGTTGCCTTCATTCTTGGGCAGTATTCTCCTTAGGGTGACAAGATGGTCTCCAGCAGCATGGGACTTACATTCTGTAGGGTCAGGGCAACCGAGCTGGAAAGGAAAATAAGAGTGCACTTCTTAATAGTTCTAACAAAAACCCTGAGAGACCTGATTGGCCTGGATGTGGGTCTATGCCCCTGCCTGCCAAGTACTGTTCTCTGACTGGCATATGACTATGTGTCCTCCAAGAGATGAACTTACTCCACTGGAACCAAAAACTTCTGAAAATAGGAAAGGAAGTGGTTCCCCAAAGAAAATTAAAATGCTCTTATTTAAGAAAGGAGAATGGCGAATAGTCAAAGCTCACTGACCTCTATTGTTCTCAAAGTGGGTGTTGAGACTATACAGTAGGTTCTTCCATCTAAGTTCAGTGTGGCACTGACTAGATTCACACTGCTCAGAGACCATGACTTCTTACTTTAAGATACTCTGAAGGGCTGGGGAGGTGGCTCAAGCAGTAACGCGCTCGCCTGGCATGCGCAGGGCGTTGGGTTCGATCCTCAGCACCATATAAAAATAAAATAAAGATGTTGTGTCCACCAAGAACTAAAAAATAAATACTAAAAAATTCTCTCTTTCTCTCCCTTTAAAAAAAAAAAAGATACTAACCAAAGTCTTACTATTTATTTAGGTCCTTGCTCAGAACAGTTTTCAAGTTCCAAGATTTTACAGAAGATTTTTCCCAATTTTTCTTTACCCCTAAATGATAGACCCTACTAGGCAATAGCATGGCTGGGAAGGGTATAGCTCATTGGCTCTTTAACCAGCATCCTCAGGTTCTGCATAACTCACAGGGAAGGAGAAATGTGACAAAGTCCTCCGTGGTGGACTTTTTTTTTTTTTTTGCTTCCCTTTTGAAGTCTGAACGGAAAACAGCTTTCACTGGGCAGAAAGAGGAATATAATATGATAGCTCCTGGAACATTCACAGAGCAAGATTTTGGAGAACCACTGTTAAACATTCTGAATTACACATCACTATAACAATCAGATGTCAGCTACAAACACCCTGTCCTTGTGCATGCTTTTAAAAGCTGCCTGGATCCTCCCATCCCAAGAAGAAATCCAATGGTCTTCCCAGAATCTCAGCAAATTACCAGCAGTTAATACTCTTAGTAGTCTCTTTGGCTCTGCTCCAACTCTTGCTAGAGCTTTGATCTTTTTCACATCTCACCTCCTGAGGCTGGTCTCTTCTCTCTGCTCTAAGCAGTCCCAGATGTGGGACTCAGCTCTTTTTCCATGCTTTACTCCAAAGAAAAAATATGTACACACAAACTCACTCAAAGCATCATGTGTCTGTCAGATTTCCCTGAAAGTATAAAGAGACAGGGATTTTATATTACCCTGCTGCTTGGTCCTTTTATCCATTCCACATGCTCCTCACATTTTGTTGGTGGTAGGGACTAAATTCCCCTTATATTATTCAGAGTACCTTAGCTCTCCATCCCCCTTCCAGAGTTGGGAACCCACTAAGAACTATTCATTCCAGGTTTCTCCCTGATCGGCACCAAGGAATAGTTAAGAACTTTTACTCTCTTGTTGCTACCACCATTCTGTAGTGGTCAAAGGAAAGGAATGATTTTTTTCCCAGTACGAATACAAATTATATCACCCCTCTTTACAAGAAGAACTAGTCAAAGTTTTTGTTTTAAATAAATTTATATTACACTACCCTAAATTCTCTACCTCAGAGAACAGCTTATGTAACAAGTCTGAAACAATCCCCATATGTCCACTGACACTGAAATGTGAGTAAGCAAAGCAACACTTCTGTCCCAGAGACACTGCCAATCTTTGAAAGACAAGGGAGTATATATCCTTGCCACCTTATGATGGAATTCCTGCTGTTTCCAGGCTGGAGTTTTGGAGTTTTAAACTTCAGCAAAATAGGTAAAACTAGAGTAAGTTTCAAAGACTCCTTTCACCTAGGTTGGTGAGCCTGGAACCAAGGTTAAAACCAGTGAGAAAGCCTCTCCAAAAGAGAGGCAAGGACAGATGCAAAGAGCAGGTTTCCTCCCCTGGGCTAGGCCAGCTTTAAGCCTTGCTTTCCTGAGCCACTCATGTTTCCCATCCTTTTCTAAGAGCATGGGACAAGCAAGGCTTCCCACGCAGAGGCCCCTGCATCAGAGTAAGAGGCAGGGAGGCTCTGCAAGGCTGTGAACACCAAAAACAAGTAAATCCTAGCAAAGAAGAATCCTGAGCTTTGAATTCCTTTATTCATCACTCCAAAACATGCAACAACATAGTAGCATTCTTTAAGGATCCTTTTAGTTCCTGGGAAGATAGGTGAGAAGTCTCTAAATTCTTCCCAGAAGCTAAAATTTATAATACCAAAGTACATTAACAAAGAAAGGATAAAGGTAACGATGTAGAATATATATTTTCTATCTTATATAAGAAAGTGGCAAAAGTTAACATTTCATTCTTTAATGCCATCATTAGAAAAATACAGCCTTAAATAAAGGAAACCTAAAGAAACTCATCAATAAAAATGTATACATTCTAAGTCAAACAGGAATGATTTTCAAAATAAATGGGAATCTCCTATTCATACTGTTCCATGCTTTCTATTTTTACGGACACAAAAACCTACTTCAATGTTTAACAGCCACACAGAATTTCACAGTACCCCTCCCTACTCATGGATATTCACCACTACAATGAACATCCTTCTCTAGAAGACTCTGGGCATAGGGGTGAGTGATTCCTTAGATGAAATCTGTTTGCTTTGCTGTAACTTGCCTATTTGTATTCTATGCCATTTTATATTGGGTTTATAGTATTTTTCTTATTGATTTGTAGGATCTCTCTAAAGATTGTAGATATTAATCTATCATCTATTACATATAGTGCAAAAATAATCTCCTAGCCTGTTGGCTCTCTTTTAACTTTGTTTATAGTAACTTGTGCCAGAAACAAGTTTCTCTCCTCTCTCTCTTTTTTTTGGACCCAGGGCCTTGCATATGCTAGGCAAAACGTTCTACCACCGAGCCACATCCCCAAGCCAAGTTTCTCACTTTTATGTAGCAAAACCAATTACAAATTACTTAGAAAAAAGTGAAATGGGCGCAATGCACCTCAAGCTCTGAGCCACTATGGTCTCTTCCACTAAGGACCCTTGATAAAGTGGCTGGTTAGACAGTTATTTTCTGAGTTCTGATTTTATAGCCAGGGTGACAGTGAAAATTGATCAAGAAAGGGCAAAAAGATCTATGAGGATTTTTGTTTGTTTCCAGTAATTTGGGGTTGCTTTTTTAAATGTTTGAAGTCATAGTACTAACAATGTTGAAGGAATCCTGAATCACTGAAAATCCTTAAAACAGCTTTATGAACAATGAACTGAGAATTTCCAGACTCTTTCAAACTATATAAGCTTTAGGGCATTACTTGCTGTCACCATGAAGGGAATGACTGAACACAGCCCAGGAAAAATAAACGTCAGACCCCAAAGGAATACAAAGGCTCAAGAGTCCACTGATTCCTACCAGAGTTTTACGCAAGAAACTTTTAAAAAGTTTCCATTCAGCCTCTCACAGATGATTAGTACAGCCCACTCTGAACTAGAGCAGTTATTAAAAAAAAAAAAAAAAAAAAAAAAAAAAACCCTAGTGGCCAAATAGGATTTGCCTACAAGAGGGCCAATAGCTTTTCCCTAAAAGTACTTGGCCTCTGTATCTGTAAACAAAGACCCAGGATCTTGCTGCTGTTGTCCTAGTTGGCCATCACTCACCCCAGCAACCCCATTAAACCCCCACACTATTTAAGCAGGCAGTGTAGAAAGCATACCTGAAAAACTGTCCTGGCCACCTTCCCTCCAGCTGAAACTTGACACTCCTTTATGAACTTGCATTCTGGGCAATGAAAGTTCTAACATAAAAACAATCTTCAGTGTCCAGCAGGAGGAGGAGGAAAAAGAGACTTCTTTGCTTGATATCTTGTTGCCCTGATGTTGCTTCAAAACCATTATTGTTATAATATTACCAAAAAGCATCTTTTTTTTTTTTTTTTTTTTGCTAAGTCTTGTGCTGAACGACTATACTCTTACTCATTGCTGTCATCTGCTGACCTCCTGGTCATCAAGGACTTGGTCACAGTCTGCCTTTCCATCTCAAGTCAAACCTTTGTCTGGTCATGACCTCTCTATTTCTACTTCTCATCATTGCTTCTATAGCTTCTGTTTTTTAACTACACTGTGATTTCCAGGCCCTTCCCCACCACTGTGCCACCATCAGAACTCTCTTGGATTCACTTCTTTCTCTAGTCAGCTAAAGGACAACCACTCTCCCACCAATACTCTAGGCCACATCTATTTCTCCTCTTCTATTTGTTGTACAACACAGTTTCTATCTGAATGCAGATGTTCTCAGCTTTAATCCTCCACTTGTTTCATACTGCTAAAATAATCATTAGTAATGAGGGCTGCTTCCTCTATAAATTAATGATCTCCAACATTGGGTGAGTCTTCAGCACTGCTCAGCTATCCTCTTACATGTCTCTCAAGGTCATAGCCAATGGCACAAGAGTTTTTTATGAAACCATACCACTCTCCCCACTATCTCACTTGCTCCTAACAGATGATTTCAACTTCTGCTCAGAAAAAACAAAGCTCAAAGAAAGCCCAACTGTCTCCCAAAATCTCATCAAATCACTCTAACCCATTATATCCCCATTATATCCCTTGAAATAAGACTTAAAAGTACTCAGCAGAACTCAGTAGTACACATCTGTAGTCCCAGCTACTTGAGAGACTAAGGCAAAGAATCACTTGAACCCAGAGATCAAGACCAGTCTGGGCAACACAGTGAAACTACATCTTAGGAGGGGAAGAAAAAAAAAAGTGTTCAGAAGAATCTTGGCAAAATGTAAGAAAGTAACAAATGGTGGTACTGGTGGTGATGTTAATCTCAGTGCAGCCTTGACCTTTGTTCAGTTCAAGTTTAAACTTGTCCACCAATACTCAGGATACAGTATTCCCTTTTCCCCAGGAGACTTTCTCAAACAATTTCTACTTGCTGTTTCCCCATAGCATAGGGTCATGCTCTCAAGAAAAGA